AAAAAATAGATAAGTACAATGATTTGATACTAAAACATTAAGTTTTAATGATATAAAGATCCATTTCGTCATCCATTCAGGAATTAAATAATACTCAATATCAATAAAATCAGTAATATATGCTTATTTATATTTAATAATACTAATAATTTACAATGTATAAAAATAATAATATGTATCTTTTTATTTACTAGCTTAAAATATATTAATGTAGCTTATTCCGATATAAAAAACTTAATTTGTAGTTTATTTTTGATATCAATAAAAATATCAAAAAACAAGTTCGTCTACATCATATGGGTGAGCACGATAATAAGAAATACAAAATCACAGAAGTCCATAACTGATTTTTTTGCAATATGTTAAATGTCAATATTTAAACACAGATAGCTATTTATAATGAAGTGAATTGGTTTTTTTTTTAAAAAAGGAACAATACAAATTGTCATATATAAGGGTTGTGCATATCGTGTTCATCTGGATTATTTGTTTTTGTAAAAGGTATTTAAGGTACAATAAAGTTGGTCACCCTGAAATAAAAATTCCACAATTAAAAATTACGAAAACAATATTTATAAAAATACTATCAGAGCGTCATAAACATAAACTCTGAAATATTTTATTTAAATTACTTTTACGAATCGAAAATTATCACGTGAAATTAAAATTTTAATGCTTTTCGAACTTTAATAAGTTCCAGGATAAAATTCCGATGTACTTTCAGGTATTTTACCATTTGAGTTTTTATTTCTATCCTTTTGCTTTCCACGCCTATTTTCCTTTCTCTGTATTATTTCATTCTCTGGTACATTCTCTGCTTTCTTTGCTTCATCATCATCATCATCATCAGTTTTATCAGTTTTCCTCTTATAATATAAGAAATACCAAAGTATAAAAGCAATAATTAAAAATCCGTAACTTATGTAAAAAGGACTCCATTGTTGATATCTAACACAATTATCACACTCAACTATAAATGAAAATATTAATATAAATATTCCTGCCAATATAAATAATCCTGTTATGGGTAACCAAACCCTAAAAGGACGTTTTTTTTGAGGACTTTGACGTCGTAGTACCTAATAATTTTTCAAAGGTTGCTTCTTGTTTAGAAAAATAATAACAAAAAAAAAAATAATAATAAAAATAATAAATTTTTTATATACCAGTAATCCTACACCAGTAGCAAAATAAAATATCCAAAAACTGTACATTGCAAATTTTGAAAATAATTCATAACTCGTGATAGTAAAACTACTACCAACAAATAATATAATTAATGAACACCAAATACATTGTGCTAGTAGTGCATTAATTGGTGTATTATAATTGTCATGCCAGTTTTTTAATTGATCCGAATATATCGGAAAAAACTTTGATCTTGCTGCTGCAACAATAACTCTCGATCCACTAAATTATGTTTAATAGAAAAATTTATTAAATTTATTTTATTTTGACGGTTAATTATATATACAAAATGTAATATTTACTTTACCTCCATACATTAGCCGCAGCAGTACCAATTACTGAGAGCACAATAAGTAAAGTGAACATTCTAACAATTGCATCGCTTCTAAACAAATGATTAAAGAATGATACTGCTATAGTTTCATTTGTCGTTTTATTATCCAACACGTCTCCTTTTGGTATAACAGAAATAAATGCAACATTCACGAGAAGGTCTGTAAAAAAAAATGCGTTAACTAAATTATCAAATTGGGAATTGTGATAAAATTCGATATAATAAATTTCACACTTACACATTATAGTGACGATTCCAACACTAATGCTATTACTCTTAATCAATTGCTTTCCCGGATTTTTAAATTCATCTAATGAATCTACCACAATTCAACCATTTATTAATATATCAATCAACTATTTCGAACATCAGTGCTAAATTACAACTTACAATTCAAATTATTCCAGCCATCATAACTAAACATAATCTTAAAATAAAAAAGTTTAAAAACACATGCGATTAAAAAAGAAAAACTTAAATTCTCTTCAAGTATTTATTTACCAACAAAACCGAACTGGAATATGCTGCGATATTTGCATCCCCATCTAATGGTTCTTGCCAATTACTAAGACTTTTTTCCCGATCTAAAAAAAATCTACAAATTCCAACTATGGCGATAGTCAAATATGTAAAAAACTTGATTACTGCCAACGTTTGATTTATATAACTTGCCCATGTGTTACTCAGCATATGATATATAGTTATAATCCATAAAAATGTAATTGCAATTAATTTTATACACCTGAAAAAAATAAAATATAGTTTTCTAATTAAGCTCTATGGATTTTTTCTTAAATAAGCAAATAAATTATTTAAATATTGTACCAAAATGGAAAAAATTTTAGCTTCCATCCATCTTTATTTCTGTCCTCCTCCTCCAAATTATAACTTCCGGTAATAGTACACCAAAAATACTGCGCAGCAGATTGTAAAACAGCACTTATAATTCCTGGACGAATTGCACTAAAATAATACTGTATATTTTTAATAATTTCAAAATTCATCTGATAAACTTTTAAATTCAGAATGTAGAGAACATAAACATTTACAAAATAAACATAAAACTGAAAAGATAGCTCATCATAAGTTTCGGCTCTGGATAAGCAGTTTGTAAGTATTTCGTCTCTCCACCACTTATTTTATGCATAGCTCCAAGTTCAACGTAAGTTAACGATCCTGCCATACTAACAAGTCCACCAATGAGCCATAAAATCAATACAATCACTGGAGATTTTACCGAGTTCCAAATAATTCCTGGTGTAGTCACTATCCCCGAACCTAACACATTATTTACATTCATACCAATACCATAATATACACCTAATTTACTTAATAATGATGGATCATGAATGGAAGGAACGGGACTACTACCAATAGGTGGTAGTCCGTCATTTCCATGATTATGTTGTTGCAAATGTATTGTATTGTCACCACTATTACTTTCAATCATTTTTTCTTTTTAAAAAAAATTTTGGTCAACTTTATATAGTAAAGTTTCGCCAATGTGACACTGTAAGATTATAGATTATCCTTGACATTCATTTTCTTTCATTATAATATTAGTAAGACAACGTATGACTTTTTTTTGCATAAACTTTAACACAGTATATTAAAATCAATCTATTTTTCTGTGCTATTTTTAGAAATTTATCACAGTCCTCCATTTGCAACTCGAATACTTTCTGCACCCCTTAAGTATTATCTAACGATCGAATTTTCTCTTTTTTTGTATAACGAAAAAAATATTTTTTTTCTTTATAAACATTATAGACGACTGAATATCCAGATTATTATTGTTCATTAGCTTTAAAAATAAAAACGGGTGAAATAGCACGCGAGATATTACATATAGCACAAACATATTTATTTATAAAAGAAGCTAACACAAACATAGATAGAACACCAGTTGATCTAGTTCATTCGTAAACAATGTCCAGGTTAAGGTATTTATTTTGAAAAAAAAAAGTATTTCAATGTATTTAGGTTTGGGTAATTTTGTGCAAAGACGGATAAAAGTGACAGTTGGTGTCGAGTTGAAAAATTCTAAGGAACTGTCTTGATGCTCAAAAAATTTAAGTTTTTCCAGAGAGATTAAAATCAGCATGGGAAGAACTTTTAGAACATACAACTGGTTCTGATGTGTGAATGGTCATTTTTTTTATGACATCTAGCATAATTCTTTAACAAGGATCCAAGGAAATTAGAACGAAGAATCAAACTTTAATGAAATCAACAATAACAAAACATCTTATAATCCGTCAGGAATGATTGAAGTAGGAACGATTGAAGAAGTAACGCCCGAAGACATATTATTAGCAAGATGTTAAACCAATTTACAACTAATTCCTTCAGAACAGCGACCAATGAGCTCACGCCATCAGATTCATTCATTAAGTATAATATTAACGTATTAAAATTTAACTATAGATATTTTTATATACAGATCAAGTACCATAATTAGATTTAGCCATTGAAATATTCATAGCAGATACAATATTTGATTTCTGACTTGCGTCGAAAATCGATGCATGATTCAGGGAATCATTTAGCGGACGAAAAAGATTAAAGTATTGTTCTCTTCAGGAATAACCTTGCCTGATTTTGTTTAATATTTGATAACTAGGTTCAATAAACTGATACTTTTGAAAAGATGATCTATTACTCGGATTAATATATTTTTAAAGATATTTTTATTAAATAAAATTTCGTTAAATATATGCACGAAAAATTGTTGGTTTATAAATAAATTATAAAATAAATTCATTTAAATTTTTTTATAAAATTACGAGGTTAAAAAATAGAATACAAGAATATATATAAAAAATTTCAATCTGATTTGAAACGATCAAATTGTTATGACTAAATTATATACATACATGCAATTTAACTAATATCAAAATTTAACTAAAATTTCTTTTCTATTTAAACCATTATATTCTGTCGGTTTTCTATTTTCACTTCCATATTTCTCTTAGGTAGCTTCTCTAGTAACACTAAATACTTCAATCTCATCAAATGTAAAAGTATTTGGTTCAATTATTTTTTTTTCATAAAAATTTTTATTACAAACGCCCATTTTAGAATGATTATTTCCAGATAAGTTAATACTTAAATCATTTTCACCAAACCCAGGCCCATAAATTGTTCTACAAATAGCTTTATGCGAATATTCTTTTAATACTCTACTCAATATGGCATCTTCTTCAGGATTATCTCCTTCACCAAATGAAAATATAAAAGCTTCCGAGCTACCTGAAAATACTTCCATTGGATACCTTGATTCTGTATTTATTGGATAATATCCTCCTAAAATGATTCGGGAATGACTCATTGTAGTTACAACTACTGTTGCTCCTTGTCCCGAACATTTATTATAATAAGATCTTGTATCAAATCCATCTCTACTACCACGATAAATTAATTGAAAATGATAAGTAAATGTTGATGATGAAAAAATTGTCGATAAATGCTTTGAATGTGACGTTCTACTCGATGAAGAAATTCTTTTTGCGTCAATATGTGTTGAACTTGAAGGTACTTGTATTTTATCGTTACTATTTTCTTTCTTGACTGTTGCTGTCGTTGAAGAAGTTGAAGAAGAATCGTGATGGAAAACAGGTCTTCTTCCTTTACGTAAAGTCCACAATTTTCTCAATGAAGAAGGTTGTTTCCATGAAAGTTTAGTTGATCCTTTTTCTTCATTACGTGAATTTGAATTCTTTGTAGCTTCCGTCGACAATGATATCGTCGCGTTGGAAGAAGAATTTGCTTGTTCTTCGTTTAAACTTAAATGTTCATCAGTACTTATAACGTGATATCCATTATTGTTTGTCGAAGAAGAATCAGATACATAAACTTCTTTCTCTCTTCCAATATCAATCCATCTTCCAACCATAGCAACATGAGTATGATTGACAATCTTTGAATCATTCAATATAACGTGTGGACGTAAAACATCAAGCTTTGGATTTCCTCCCTCATCCAAACAATAAAGATAATATTGTAATGCCGCATTATTTGTTGTATCTGCTGGTAAAATACGTTTATAAGGTAGAACATAATCATAAAAATCATTACGTGAAATTAATGAAAATCTTATAAAATGTACAAAATGATCCATCCTACTCTTAAGTAATTCAAATTTTTCATCCGTCCATTCCATCACTTTACTTGAATTTAATATTGGTTTTTTGGATGAACTTGCCCATAAAATTAATAAATTCCACATAACCCCATCATGAACATAGTGTTCTTCCTCAGATAATAAACTTTGAAAAATTGATTCCTCTAACGTACCAAAATTAGAACTTTCCTGAAACCACGTTGTTGTATTAATAATATCTACGCAATTTGATCGAAATCTTTCCAATGTTTCATTTTGATATACTAATCTCACTATTTTCATAAAATTCTTTTTCAACATTTCTGATTTCTTTTCAAATAATTCTCGAATCTGTCTCTCTAAATCATCCAACATAAATTCATCTGCTGCTAACCAAACTCCAAGAAAATCTTCTCCTTCTAATATTTTCCAATCAACTGTCCCTTTATAAATATAACTAAAAAAAAAAAAAAATGAGTGATAATTGATAAATTTTCTCTTTCAACATAAAAATTATTTTTAAAAAAAAGAAAAAACTCTTACTTCAATATAACTCCAAAAACCTTTGGTCTAATGTTTGGTTTCTCAATTATAAATACATCATCCTCTTTTCTTGCCCAATTGCTCGATAATGCTGTACGAAAATAACTACATTTATTACTTAATAATTTTGAATTTGCTCGAAACTTTTTTAAATCAGGTTGTTCTCCTACTCGAATTAAAACATCATCGTGTTCAGTTTCAATGGTATCTTTATTAATAATATTCGATGTCGACGTCGTCACTGTTGTTTTTGTTTTCGAGGAGGACGAAGGAGTTGTTGTTGGAATTAACGTAGCCGATAAGTCATTCAATGAACTTTCCTGTTGCTTTTCTACTATACTTATAGATTCTTCTTTTACTACATTCATTTGATTTGTTATTATCGATATCGTTGTTGATTTTACTATAGGAGTTGAATATTATTTGATATCATTAGTATTAAACACATCAAAAGCTAAAAATTAAAAAAAAAAATAATATATTATAATTGAAAACGAATGAGATAAATAGAGAGAATGATCAAGAAGAAACAAACATTATAATGAGCAAGAACGTTTTATTTCGGAGAAAAAAATTTTTTTGAAAAATTTATTTTATTTTAAGATGTTTGTGTAACCTTCCATAGTTCTAGTTCCGATCGTAGTTTTGTTTCACAACTCTACTTTGAGCTTTGTTTCAATTATTTATTCAACCCTTTTAGAATGATGAATTTGAGATGAATTGGTTTGCGTGTAATGTAAATCAATGTACAGCAAAATACACAGCGTTTCATAATGAACATCCGAAGTTGGAATTAAAACAACAAATTTTGTCAAATATGTCTGTGTAGCAACATTACAAACCAATTGTTTCATATATTTATGGTGCGTCTAAATTAGACACGTATAAAGATCCCAAAATTATGAAAAGAATTCAATAAAAATAAAAATTCTATTGCAAAAAGGTATAAATTACATATATTAAATATATAATTAAATTCATACATAAAGTTATTTTTTTTAATCTATAAAAAAATATATATATAATTAGATTTAAAATAAATAGCTCTTAAAAAAAAGCTTTTTTTATAATAATTATTTTTTGAAATATTTGAATACTTTAGCAGATATTAATAGTTAATAACTCATTTTTTTCAGAAATTACAACTTTGGAAAAAAATAAAATTTTTATAGATAACTAAGTTGTAATATAAAATAAATTAATTAGTAAAGCTTGCATAAGCTAACTTAAAATCAAATTAACTTAAGTAAAATTTTCACTTAAATTTCTTGACATTTTGTTTTTTATAATATAAAAAAGCACCCCTAGCTAATGAATGTTATAAACTATATAAATAAAATTATAACATGGATTTTATTCATAATATTCTTATATAATAACCAATATAATTTAATTATAAGTTAATTTATAATTTAATTAAAATTATAATAATTTTTTTACAAATAATATCTTTAATTAAAAAATATTTCTAAAATAATATTTTAAATAATATTGATTTACTTTATACTATTTTTCAATTAATATATATTTTTTTAATTTATATATTATCTATTTTTATTCTATAATATTTTATTTAATAAATTTCATTTTTAAAATAAAAATATTTGCCTTAACTATTTTTAAAAATTTCAAATATTTGAAATTAAAATATTTGTTTATAATGATTTTTTTATAGGTTTTTTAAACTTAATAAAGTTAATTAAGATTTAGATCTAAAAAAAAAATTATTTTATAAAGTTTTTATATGAGAGATTTGCTAGAAAAATAGGATTCTAAGAATTTTTTTACATTTTAATTTTTGATAATATTAGATCAAAGCAATAAAAAATCAAAAATTTTCTAAAATATCTTTTATATTTTCAAGTTATATATTAAAATAAAATTTAATATTATTATTAAATCATATTTTTTAAAATTATATTTTAGTTTTTTAAAAATAAAAAATTTAAGCTAGTATTTTCAAATGAAATTATTTCTTAAATTCAAAACTTTTTACTGGTAAACTTCTAGTTTCGTCTCATATATCTGAAATTATTTGAAATATTTTATAGATCAAATTAAACCATACTAGTTTTAGCTAAAATATTAATTTGAATAATAATATAAATTAATAATATTATTTAAAATCTATTTAATAAAAAATGCCTTTATAGCTTCAAAAATATTTTTTACTAAAAAATATCTTATAAAAATACTTCTATAACTTTAAAGATATTTTATTATCTAATAAAAGTATCTTTGTAACTTTGAAAATAATTTTTATAAGATATTTTTAGTATAAAATATTCTAAAGTTATAAAGGTATTTTTACAAAATATTTTCTTAATAAAAAATATTTTATAAGCTGCAAAAGCATTTTTTATAAGATATTTTTAATAAAAAACATCTTTAAAGTTGTGAAGATATTATTTTACTAGATTTTTTTTTAGTATAATATGTCTTTAAAGTTACAAAGATAATTATTATTATATTTTTTTTAGTAAAATATTATTTTTTAAGTTATAAAGTTATTTTACTAAGCTTTTTTTAATAAGAAATCAATAAATTTAATTTTATTAAGATTTTTAGTAAAAAATTACCTTTAAAGGATATTAGTTTAAGCAAAGTAAATCATATAATAGAAAGATATATAATAATTAGTTAGAAGTAATGGCAAATGCAATTGGCCAAAAAACTTTAACCTTTAGAAATTAATAAATTTATAAATTAAGCATTTTTTTGTAAATATTATTTTATTATATAAATTATATAATAATCAATTTTAAAAATGTTTTTAACATATTTATATATTCTTTTGTTTGTTTAATTTATTTTTTTCTTCAATTTACTAATATCTATTTGATTAATTCATTAATAGTAAGTATTTAATTTTTAATTTTTTTTTACTTTTTTGTTTATGCAAAAATTATAATTAATTCATATTATTCATTTTTCTTAAATATTTTTTAAAATATTTCACATATTTTATTGATTAATAATCTTATATTACCATACATATATTCATGAAAAATATGTTTATATAATAATAAATATTAATTGCAAAATAAACAACAATAATCATGTAATATTAATCTAAGTTATAGATGCTTTCTAAAATATTTTTTTTATATTTCTTACTATATTTTTAATATAGTTTTAACTAATTTTGGATTTCAGGATTTCATCATACTCTTTATTATATTTTAATTTAATTTTGACTATTTATTAATTTTTTTTTTTGGTTTCATCCCTTATCTATAATCTAGATGTATGTTTTCCATTTCCTAATTTATTCATAATTATAAAAACTTCTTTTACAAATAATTACTGAAGAAATTTAGAAAACTTTTAAATTTATTTAAAAATATCATTTTTTTTACCAAAGCTAATATTTTTTTAATATGAAAATTAAAGTCAACTTTTTTAAAATCTAAATTAATTTTTAAATCAAAATTAATAATTTTATAAAAAATGCCTATTATAAAAAAAATATATTAATTAAAAATATAAAAATAAATTAAATTAAATATTTTTATCAATTAATGATGATACTGTAATTAGTTCTTACTAATTGCAAATCATAGTTCTATATATATTATAATAATTGTTTTACCAAAAATGTAAGCCGAAATTCAAATGACATAATATAAAATATATTTATAAAATTAATTACAGGTAGCATAATTAATTACAAGTAAAATTAATTACATAAATGATAATTATTTACAGGAGTAATAATTAATTATGAAATTATAATTAATTATACATAACGAAATTATTTATTGTAGACATAAGTAATTATAAAATTCTAATTAATTATATATAATAAAATTATTTATTATAAACGTAATTAATTATGAAGTTGTAATTAATAATATATGATAAAATTATTCTTGTATACATAATTAATTATGAAATTTAATTAATTATATATAATGAAATTATTTATTGTAAACATAATTAATTATGAAATTGTAATTAATTATATAATAAAATTTATCATTGTAAATATTTTTATTATTTTTTAAAAAAACTAAAAAATAATGAAAAATAATAATACAGAAAATATATTATAGATGAAATATTAATATCATGATAATCATGTATTCTATTATAAAAAATAAAAGATTTTCTATTATACTAATAATGTAAATATCAATTATAAAAATAGATATTTAATTACCAAGGTTTGATCTAATAAACTATCTAAATCAAATTCTTTTTCACCATAATCAATAATTGATAATTCAATAACTATTCAAACTTTTTGTATTTTAATAATTCAGCTAATTTTTTATTTCTTAAATTTATAAAATTTTCAATTTGTATTTCATTATTTTTAAAATCAAATTAACTATCATTTTCTGTATCAAAATATCTTTTTCATTAATTTCATCCAATTCAAATTCGTTTAAAACATAGCAGTATAAATATCATCATCACTTAAATTTTAAGTTGCAAATTTTAACACTTTTTTAACATTTAAGACATAATAAGCATAAAGTTTAGCAATATCTTGCAACTTTTTCATACTTAATCTAAAATTATTTAGCATCAGATATATTTTATAATTTTAATAAATATAAAAATTAAGATAAATATTACTTTTTTATTCATATTTCATCCAAAAATTGAAATACTTTTTCATAACCAGCATTTGTTAGAGTTATTGATAATATTTTTATAATAAGGTATTATATATAATTTTTATCCTATTCTATTAATTTCCACTAACTTTCAGTTAAGTAATAACCAGATATAAAATCATCATCATAGTCCAATTATAAGCTATAGAAAGGAAATTTAGATTTTTATATTTAAAATATAATTAAATAATTTTAATTAATGAATATATTTTAAAGTTATAAATAAAATGAATTGATAACTATTTCTTATAATATTTCATTAACTAAATAATAATATTGTTTAAATGAATGATTACTTAATCTTTTTTTATAATTTTAATCTTTTCTTTTTAGGTATTTTTCAAAACTTAGATACTAACTTTTCATATTTAGCAATAATCATTAAATAAAATAGTTTCTAATAATAATAAATATATTGTTAATAAATAAATATAATAAAATAATAAAATAAAAATTACTTGATAACTATTATACATAGGTTTTTAAAAGTTTTAGAAATATTAATATATTTTGTTTTACTTAGTTTTTCAATTATATTTAACTTATTAATTTAAATTATAAGAGTATTATTCTCAATATTAAAGTTAATATATCAAAAAATTATAAAATTATATATATATGATAGAATCATTATTACTAATATTATCTTTTGTGAATAAAAGGTTTCTTAAACTTGATAATATATATATATTTTTTTTTTACATATATCATAAAAATTATTTTTTGAATTTTATCTTTAGCAATAAATTATACTAATAAATTATGCAAAATTACGTAAAATTACTTGTGATCCTAATAATTTTTTTCTACTTCATTCTGAAAATATGTCTGCACTTATTTTGCAAAACAACGTCTTATAGTATATCTTTGAAGACTTTACAGCTTTTATTCTTCTTAACACCTGTTTCTTGATTTATGTCATCAAAACCAATTCTTCAATCACCCTTCTACACATGATAATAAAATTGCTAATGAGCTTTCTATACATATGACTGAAATTAATGGTATTCTTACAGCAGAAATCAAAAGAATAAGATATGTGATGGAAGTATTACTGCGAAAATTGAAGGACTTCTTATTGATGTCTACAAAAACTTAGCACTAAAGTTAACACTAAAATCACCAATGAACTTTCTGCACATCTTTTTGAAGTTAATTCTACTTTCACTGTGAAGCTTATCAGAAACAATAATGAACTCAATAGGAAACTTACTGGAGAAATCACTAAAATCAATTCATATGATGCTGGATATACCTCTGAGACACAGAAAATTTTATCAATAGTTAATAATATGATCACAAGACTTGATAATATTGAAGAAGCCTGCCGTAATGATTTTGGCAACATTTCATCTGAATTCACTTTGATCAAGACCTCTATTGAAGCTTTCTGAAATGAAATGATCCAACGTTATGCAATTGCCTAAAGGCTTCAGTTCGATTTTGATCAACTGAGTGTGGCTAACCATTCCTCTAGTAGTGAAAGTTCTTCTAGTTGATTATCTGATTCATCTCTCAAAGAAAGTAGGAACCGCTTTAAACGTGTTTTTTAATTTGGTAAAGGAAGTGGGGGATACTATGGATTATACGTTTGAAACTGTTAGATGTGAAATTCGTCAACTTACTGGAAAAAAGATTGGGAAAGAAACTGTAAAAAATTTTTATTATGGTGAAGGGGATCCAAAGTTTAGAATAGTAATGTCAATTATGAGATGGGTAGATAGTAAAGAATTTAGTGGTAGTGTAAATAATAATGCGGAGTAGTGGAAAGGAACTGCCATTACTTTTACATAGTAAAAGACGTCTAGGGGCGGGCAGACATATTTTATGCTTTATTCCTCCCTCTAATTGTATTACTTTACGAAAATATGTAATAAATTGATTTTTATATTTTATAAGATCAAAATAAGCATTGCATGTAATTTATTCTTGAGTTTTTATTATTATTTTGCTTTTTGCGTCAAAAGAAAAAATGTGTTATATATTACTTTATCTGATTGAGAATAACTAATTTGGAAACCGAATAGTTACAGTTTCTTTACCTAAACTCTCTATCTTAAATGCATCAAAATCTTTGGAGCATGACACATGTATGAAATCCTTCTTAATTTCCCGAACTTTTTTTGCTTCACTACGATCATCAAGAATGCCTATACTGCGAATATCAATAATAGCTATACTTTTTGCATATTTAACAATCTCTTTATATTCTCCTCCTATGGGGTCAAATCTTTCCTTATGTTCGGCCATATCTTCACCATCTCTCAAGAGTTCTATCGCCCAGTCTAACTTGTCCACATAGAAATCTAATTTTCCGTCACATCCAAAAGCTGAACCCGCATCACATGACAAAAAATGATCCTTTCCCAATACCCGTGTACCAATTCTATAAAATTCCTTTTGCCATGTTTGTTCCAGGATTCTTCCATCAGATCCATGTCCAAGCGTTTCCCTTAAAATTTTCTTAGATAATTCGTTACACATTGCTGTGAAAATCCTCACAATAAAATCATACAAATCTGTAGGAGTAACTACGGCAATATCTTCAGTTCCGTACATTTGCTGAAAAAATGATCGCTTAAGAAGGGGCGCTGCAAAAGTTAAATACATATTATCCTCCACAACCATAAGGACTCCAGTTTTAACTAGATGCACGGCATCCTCATCATCTGAGAAAGAAGTTTTTCCTTTTAAATAAGTTTCTTCACATAAGGCTAATTGTTTCGAGTTAATTGATTTAACATCTGGTACAGCGCGACAGCCGGAATAGATAGATTTATCAAACTTCCTTGAATTTAAGTACTTGAGTATATCTTCCCAGGTTAGACGATAATTCTTATTATCAAGTCGCTTCTTCATTTCAGATTTTGTATTCGTCAAGATGTGGCGAATCAAACCCGCATGTCCTCCTGTTGCCATTTGGATATATTGATATAAATTTAAGACACTTTGCTGATCTAATTTTTTGAAGTGGATATTACAGAACTTCTCAACATATATTTTTAACGCGTCCGGGGAAAAATTGATGTCAACAAGACTTTTGCAATTTTCATCCCGTATTTTGACAGGAGTCGCAAGGCCACTGTTAGAACTTTTATATCCATAGGCCGCAAACATTATAATATATGTACTCGTTAAATCCTGAAGGAGACTTTTAACGGTCATCCAGAATTGACCTGCAGTTTTTTCATCATCGCCAGTAATTCCCTTATCCCCATAAATCAATTGAGCCTCATCTACTATCAAAATTGATGGAATTTTCTTGCATTGACGTATCCACTGTTTCCAAGTTATACCAACAATTTCCGTCCACAGCTCACCAAAATTATTCCAATTGATACCTCCTTCCCAAAGCAATGAAATTCGGATTACTCTACAATGTGAGTATTCTGGCGCGTTAATCAATGTGTGCTCCAAAATTTGGGCTAATGACGTTTTTCCAGCGAAGGGTGGTGCCCGAACAAGTAAAACTTTTTTATTTATAAGTTCTTTGATCAAAATATTCATGATATCAAATCTTAGACTGATGTCACGATCATTAAGTTTAACACCTTCATTGGTAGAATCCGATCCCGAATCAGACGAATCATAAGGTAGCAACGTACCACCAAGGCCATCTGAAAAAGGCTGATAGTTAGAAATAGAACATTTCTATTAATGAATATCAACTTATACGTACTTTGTCGAGGCAGATAGCCAAGTTCTGCAATGATACGAGTTATATCAGCGAGCTCTTGATCTAGTACAAAGCAAGCAAGGATAAAGACGATCAATACATTATATAGAAAACAGAATAGTGAAATTATCTTTTTTCGAGAAATAAAAAATTAGGAGACACTTACCAATGGTGACGGGCGGTTGTATGATGATATGGATTTTCCTCGCTGGAGGTTGATCACTAAAATAGTCGCTAAACAGAAAAGTAGGTTTCATTTTATTTCCTCCAAGTTTTTGTACAATATCGTCTTCGTTAAAAACATCAACAACTTCTTCGACATTAACATGCCAAAGTTCCAGTTTGGAAGCGTCGTTAGTAAGGTCTTTAAGGATATTATTTTTCCGTTCATAGATATACTCCTTGAGGAAATCGATAGTTAACGATTTTATGGGGACTTCAACTTTATTAATAGGAATTTTTTCGCTAAGAGGGATCGAGAAAATAGTTCCAGTACCTAGGACGAAACAATTTAATGACATTTTGAATATATTTCTGCAATTACGAAAACCGAGAGTTAAAAAAATAACAAAATTAATTTTCAGTAAAAAAAAAAGGAATGTAGACCTTTTTTGATTCGAATTTAGCTTGACAGATAAGGATTTTTCATCAAAGTTAGTTTGTATTGGGGATAAAATACCGTTTGACCGAGACATTTTATAGTTTGAGCCAAATGTTCTTTTGATTATCTAAGAATGTTTCTATATATATTTAGATATTTGCGAAATGTGGCTTGGCAATTCATCGTGTGAAAATGCGCAGTACTACTATTCGGAAAAATTAGTATGGGCCTGTGAGATGAATTCGCTCGCTTTGACAATGAAGTTCCTTCTGGCTAACAAACCAATACCTGTTTTTTTCCTCGTTCTGGATTCCCGAGCATCACTAAGAGCTTTACTAAGAGTAAATTTATTTCATGTCTTGTATAAGTATAATTGACAACCAACTTTTGTTGGAACAAGTAAAACCGGATCACAAATATTGTTGGTATAGATAGTTTAGACAAACGAAAAACTGGTATGATTCGTAAGCATTAGTATAAGAACACCATTTTGCAAACCTACAGTACATAGCGATAGGAAAGAATTAATAATTTTTCGTGATTTTTAACATAATATGATGCGTGTTTGAGTGTAAATTCCGGACGAAAAAATTATAGTCAAATAAAATCGCAAAAGCATTTAAAATTTTGAGTTTATTCAATGAGGCCCAACTTCTCAAAGATGATTTGGAATGACTACGTATGGATCCTCGTAATACCAAACATATTTTAGAGTAAAGCAATTTTCTTCACAGAGTTCTTTTTTGATCTGATCACGCATCAACTGCTTTTGAAATTCTTCCGGATCTTTGTGAAAATACTTTATATGTTGCTCATGCTGTTTACCTTGTACTTCTATGGCAAATCCATACTGTGAATAATAGATATCGAGTTCTAATCCTCGAGGATGTTCAGGTATTTTCAAGAAATCTGGTTGGCGGATGCTGGAAGGTGGGCCAAGAATGTTAGTTATGACTTCGCGACATAGATTTTCATGTTTGTTTAAGCAATATGGCTTAGAATGCTTTATACAATTAAAACTTGAAAACCATTTATGACCCTTATTACACATCCATTGCATCGGCACACAGAGATTTATATATTCTGTAGAAAGACACATACCTCCTTTATTGTGAGCGATTTCCTTAGCTTCCGAAAGACCACAGGGAAAATTACCTGCAATTTGTGAATACCATCTTCCCATATTTTTTATTTGATAAAGAGTTGTAAACCATTCATGACCTTGGCACATCTCCAAAGCATTTGAGTATTTGCATTAACATATTCTGTGGAAAGGCACTTACCACCTTGTTCTTGTGCAATATTATTTGCTATATCAATATTGAATTGTCATTGACTACATTTCCGGTGCTGTGTAAGGTTGCTTATCTAAACTCATTTTGGATTTGGCTAAACGTCTAAACCTTTAGTTTCGCTAAATTTTTACTAAGTGTTTGATATAGTTTCACCATTTTTATAAGCTTTGATATAGTTTTACCTTTTTTTGAATTTCGCAGATTTTTAATAAGATTTTAATATAATTTAACCAAGTTTTACCTTTACCATTTAGACATCTATCTAAACTCTGGTTTTTGTTTAGCAACCTTAGTGCTGTGTATCATATCTTTGGATTGGGATGCATTCTTGTTCTGGTATAATATATTCTTATAGTGGGATATTCTTTTAGTTTGGTACAGAAGCAAAATTTATTGACCTACTAACCTTTAAAGGTAGAGATCAAGATCCTTATGATTGGTTGGAAAGATATAATAATACAGGTGATGCAAATGGTATTTCAGATAAGAAACATCTTACTTTAGTGCTTTCATTTTTAAATGCATCAACTTTTACCTGATACAATAAAACCAAAGATGAAAAAGACTTATGATACTGGGACAATCAAACTGATTAGAAACATAAGCATTAATCCTTTATCTATCATTTTTTGAAACATTATTGCATTACTCACTAATGAACACAATGACGTTCTACACTTAGACATTGCAAATAATATCCTAAACAATCAGTTAAGGATTATGCTACTGATATTAAGTCATTATACCTTAAACTGGATCCAGATTATAATATACTTAATGATGAAAAGATTGAATAATTTCTGCAAAGATTTTGACCTGAATTCTATACTGCAATTACTACTGCGACTTAGAGGAAGCTATTGATCAAACATGAGCTATTGAAGCAGTATTATTCAAAGATAGTACACTTTCAGGTTACTCCTTAAGCAAAGCATATTTAATATAAAATAAGGATGATATTCCTGAAACCTTCAATATTATTCTGAACATGTAACACTTATTGATAAAAATAATGAAAAGTTATTAAAAGAGTTCAAGCAACTTCTGATCACCTCTAATACTACTTTATGACATCAAAATACACCTTCCCATCCTGCGAATATTAACAATAATTGGAGAAATAATAATAATACCAATAGTTATAATAATAATAATCGTAATAATAATTGTAGTACTTAGAGTTGCTATAATTATAAACGAACTAAATATATTATTAGAGATTATACTCAATAGAGGAATTATCAAAATAATTAAAATAATAGAGAAAACAATCAATATTCTCAGAATAATATATCAAACATAGGAATTAGTTGTCATAATTGTTAGCAATCAGAACATATTGTTAGAAATTGTAATAATTTACCCAGAGAATTATGTCCTTTCTGTAATTATTTTGAACACTGGGGAAGATTATGTCTAAATAGAAATACTAATTATAATAATACTAGAAATATTAATAAGAATACTAATACACCCACCCTATAAGAAATCGAAATAAGGAAATGATACGTTTTTTATAAGGTTTGTATACGTAATTAATGATTCTATATCA